ATGCAGGTAGTCAGCCAGCTTTTCAAGGAAAATTACATAATTCAGAACTCAACACTGATTCATATACATTGAGGATCTCAGCACATAAAGGCTTCAGTTTCTAAATTAGCATCACATAGAAGCACGTGAAAATCCTGGCACAGGTAATAATTTTACCAGGTATTCTAAGCATTATTTTGAAGCAGAAAAGAAAAAAACCCCAACAAACCAAAACCAACTCCACCCCTCAAAAAACCCCAACAAAAAAATCCAAAAATTACCAAGGTGCCTGCCAAATAAAAATGCAGTCTAATTGTTCTATGTAAGTATTCAAGCAAAATATGTATAATACATCCCAGGAAAACACCCTCATTCTTGCCTCCTTCCCCAAATAAAAAAGATGTCCATTTGTCAGTGCATTTTTAAGTCCAAAAGGCACATTAAAAAAAACTTCTATACTGTAAACTCCTATACTGAAAACATTGCTCAGATTCAGCTTCCACAATAGCCATCACTCACAGTGGTGGTATTTAAGAATTTTGCTTTGATAATTTTGCAGTTTGTCTATTTTAGTGTTTCCTAACAAGACTAGCTAAAGAATGAAGTGCCAACTCTTTGGGTCTGTTGAAATGTAAATCACAGGAGCTGTCAGGACTTCCTCAGAAGGGAGGCTCTAGGTGAAGCCTTTAGGGATACACTCCTGCCTCCACAGCTCAGCCTTGCCTGTCTCTCTTACAAGAAAGATAAAGCAAAAACAAAAGATAACAACTTGCTTTTTTCTCTTTCCCTGTGTCAGTAGGGACAGTGAAGGCTACAGTGCAGGCTCATGAGCCCTCAGCGCCACTCAGACCTCTGAGCACCAGCAGCTCAGGGTGGAACAGGTGTGTAGTTTCCACCAAGCACAAGCTCAGGGGCCATACACACACCACAGACATTTGGCAGCATGTGCTGCTGGACATTCCAGAAAGCAATGGCTCATCACCCCCCGGATTATGGCTGAATGACTGGCAGGTCTGTTTAGCTGTAGTGGGGGAGACCTTACCACAGGCTGTTGGAGGGGAGCTGGGGAATCATCCCTTGTTAAATTACTGACTTATTTCTAGGCACTCCACAGCACTGAAATCCCACATGTCTAGGTGATGCTTGCAAGGAAAATACACTCTTGGTGCACTGCAAAGACAGCCTGTGTTAAGAAAACAGGGAGTCAGGGGAAGCCAACCAGAGACTTGCTTGCTCTGAGCCAATCCTCCAGGCATACCACCTTTACAGCAAGGAGGTCTTGCAAATATGTTCCTGGTTCAGACTCAGAGCAGCACAGGGAGGTAGGAGTCCCACACACCATACCGTGGAGTGGGTGGAGGAATGGATCTCATGCCACCTACATATTGCACAGTGTGAAATAAATAAAGTGGGTGGATTGAATGTCATAGATACATACCACTCCTTAACTCTTATCTGTCTGCACTGGTATCTGTGCCAGCTGCATCTCCACCTACCTAGAGGCCTTCTGGTTATGGAAACCCACAACTCACAATGATATTTTACTTCTGCAGAGGTGCATTTCTTACATCCACTTTTGAAACTGAGGAGACGACAAATGTTCTTGGTACAAAAGAGTGACCTCTTTCTCAGGTGGGGAGCAGTTCCCTTTTGTGTGATTTGCTGAGACCTGATAGTTGAATTAGCAAAGGCAAAGAACACCTTGCCCGTTTTTTGAGTTGGATACAATTTGTCTGTAGCACTAGAAATGGCAACCAGTCACTCTTGCTCTCTTCTCCTATCTCTGTTTGGAAGCTTGTAGGTTTTGCCAAAATATGAGTCCAGGTTCAGATATAGGGCTTGTGTTAGTACCACATACTTGGCTGCATCACATTCCTTATCTCCCTTTTTGCTAATATCTCTGGTGGGAATCTTGCACAGATAAAAATAGGCCTTGATATTCACTACAGCATCTGCTTCTCCTTCCCAGTGATTTGCAGACAGAGACTTGCCAAGTGTCTAGTGACTCATTTATTTGGGAAAAAAGCCACCACAACAATACAATCTGCAAACCCACAATTTTCCTACTCCCATGTAAGAAGCATTTTTAACAGCCACTCAAGACCTTGTGTAGAACATCTATTAGCAACATGCTTCTGTTTTTCCCCAAAGAGTGATGAATACAACTCCAGGGGCCCAATTTCTATTGCCTTTTTCTTTTGGTAGCCACTTACTCCATGCAAAGTATATGTGACACACCAACCTGGGTCCAGAGACCTGACTTATTCAGCAGAGCTTGAGGGGACAGGCATGGACTAGGCTGGTGGAGCTGCCAATACTCTGTCCTTGGCAGGAGGCTGGAGACTAATGCTCAAGTATGCTAATCTGCTTTGCTGCTCTGTGGTCCTGGCCCAGTCATCCATTTACCCAGGGCAAAGCTACTTTAGATGTGTTTTTTCAGTAGCTTGTATAACACTGCACTGGGTGCTCTGGAGGGGAGTAAGTGTCGTGTTGATCTGAGGATGTTTTTGTAATTGAATACACTTGGTCAGCAGAACCTTTACTAAAACATAGATAGAATAAATTTTGAAAGCAAAAAAAAAGGGAGGGGATAAGAAAAAGAAGAACTTCTATGCCTCTATGAACAAAGAGACCAAACTTCTGGCACTTACCTCTGAACGCAATGTGATTTTCTGTACTCCAGCAGTGCAGTAGTTGTAGGTGGACTGAACCCTCAGACGTGGGCTATTGCAAGGCCAGATCCAAACCAAGGAGCCACTAGAAACAAGTCTATTCACAAGCATAAAGAGAAAAAGAGCTAGATTTTCCATGTTTGCTGCCACTCGAGTCTGAAGACATCAGTGGCACTCCAGAAAAAGCATCTTGTTAAGGCTCACAACAGTTGAGGGATCACCAAGAAGCCAAAGTGTTTGAGTTGCAGAGCAGGAGTCAAGAGTCCCAGTACTTTGCTCTATATAGAAACAGTAAAAGTAGGAGGTAAAAAAATGCCTGGGATGGATCAATGCCTGTCACTTATAGCTGTCAAGAAAGCATATTTGAGTTTCCCTGATGGAAGAAGCAGACATCTCAAAGACTATCTCCAGAGAAGGGTCGGTGTTTCCCCACGTCCTTGGGAAGCAAAATTTCCCGTCATTTCCCATTGAATCCTCTTCTACAACTTGTCAGCCTGAATGCATTCCTAAAGTGCTTCTGACTGTTATGAGGAAGCCAAAAAGCTGGGCTTTGTTTTCTAAGCAAAAATCCTCCAATCCTCCACCATCTCACCTACATGTCACAATCTAATCCATACCTACCTCCATTTGAGTATCTCGCTTTCTCTGATTCAGGATGCTGAAAAGCCCTGGAACAATTAAATACTATACATGACTATTTTTTACTCAGGAAACAAAAAATTAAAAATATTGGCATTCCATTTTTAAATAATAAATAGAAAATATTTATTTTACAGCATTTTCAAGATCATTTTGACAAAAAGGCATTTTCATCCAGCGTTTGACGGACCAAAAGAAAGAACTTTTACAGAAAGCTTCATAGCTCACACAACTGCATACACAAGGTGAGTTCTTGATCTTTAGATATATTTATGTATGTGTATGTTACCAGTTTTAACAATTACAAACTAAAAGTTAATATACTGAATTTCAAGAAAACTCCTACTTGTGATATAATTACATTGCAGTAATAAAATCAGTGCTTAATATGTTCAAAACAGATATGAAAACAATACTGTACTTTGCCCCCTTGCCATCTCCTCATCCATACAGATCTGTTATGTTTCTTTTTCTTTTTTATCTCAGTTCTTCAAAGACTGGCTTCCTAGCATCAGCTCTGTGCTACTGACAGTGCATGTTTTTGAAAACAGCACAGCAGATCTTATACTATGATTATTAGAAGACAGAATCCATTGCCAGTGTGGTGATCAGCAAAGAAAATATGACATTTTTTCCACTGTTTTAATAAGTAATCAGCATTTAAAAAAAAAAAAAAGAAGCAACAAAAAAATATCCCCCTAAAAACCCCAAGCAGAAAAAAAAATTCAACCAGCTAACGCTCAGGCATCCTAAGTTCATTACAGAGACATCAATATTCTGACAAAGACAGAACTGTGTCTTTGGGCAAAGTCATTTCATGCTTTCCACGTGAGGTCGACAATAGTAACTGGCCACTAGTCATATTGAAGGGAGCAAACACTGTGCAAAGAGGATAAGGAAAAAAGACTCTCTGGTTCTGAGCACCAGCCAAACCTTCCAATACCAATACTCCATAACTAAGGCAAAACTATGAGATTTGGATCTTCAGAGAAGAATTGATAACTAGCAGCAGGTCTTCTTAAAATCCAAGTGAAAAGCAAGAAAAAGAATAGAATTATGCTGAATTCAGAAAAAACTCTGATAAAGTATTCACATGTGGTTAAAGCATGGTTAAAATCAGGTTTTGCAACTATATTAATCTCAGGAAGAGATTCCTTTAAAATATTTTTGGAAATAAGTGTAGAACTGTGGTACAGATCCTCAGCTGAATTCAGCAGCACAAGCAAAGATCATAGCATCTAAAATCCTGACCTGTATATGTATAATAAGCACATTTATAAATAGGGTAATAATCATTATAATTAAGTTAAAGCCACAGCAATTAGACCTGGACTTTGACCACGCCTGTCATTAGGGAGCTTTGGATTAGGCCCATCTCTAGGAAACACATGAAAGAGAGAGGAGGAGGAATAATAAATGACAGAACTACAACCGCCTAGAAGTGATCTTTAAGATGCTGTATTGTATATTAAATACAAGAATTGAAATCATGTGGAAAGAACATGCAACTAAACATCATAGAGTTTAAAAGAACTGTCTATAACAAAACCTGGGAGTTTATGCACACATTAAGCACTGATGAAATTTCCTGTCCTGATGTGATTTTATTTTAAATTATCTGAAGCAGTGAAATAGTTGAATTACTTTTCCTGTCTCACCTGGATTTCTAAACCAGACTTTTTTCTTTTTTCTGTTTATATTTTCTTTTTTTTTTTTTTTTTTTTTTTTTTTTTTTTTTTTTTTTTTTGTTAATCACACTTGCTGCAAACATGTAAAATAACAAGATCTCAATGCACTGGTTTATTAATACCATATGTCTACTTCATAAAATATCTGCAAAACAAAGCACCCTAGTGTAAGGGTAACAACTGTCTCAGCTTGTATATGAGAAAAAAGAATGTATTAGCACAGCATACAAACCTTCAAAGATCTATCGAATATTTGTAACAATGCGATATAAAAACATGATTGTAACATAAAAATATTCATAGTATATAAGACAATCTTCCAGTGGTAGTTATTGGACATTACTCTTCACACATACCATACACACGCATACAGATGCACAAACATACGCTCACTCCAGTCTCTTGTCTGGGAGCTGGCTCCATAACCCCCAGTATGGAATTACCTTTCTTTCAGATTAACAGTTGCTCTAAGTATACAGCTGTTTTGCAATGTATTTGATTCCAACGTAACACAGAGGAATGATGCAATGACATGGTAAAATACGTTATTTTATGAAAAGATAGTAATTAAATATTGTTCTGCTACAGGAAACATTGTGTAACAGTTTAGCCACATGGTTTGCGATCTTATACAAAAGGGCAGTTTTTCTAAGTCCTTATCATATTACAAGTACTACAGTGAGGGCTTTCTTCAGAAACCTCTTGAGTCTTGATCATGTTTCTCAGTCAGTTCACATCAGTGTTAAAAAAGCCCAGATCCCCCAAAAAGCAGCCTAGTATGAAGAACAAATCGTTCAGACAAAAGTCAGTAAGAGCCATGCGCTTTCACATTATCTCAGCTCCTCTCCCCCAAACACATTCCGCAGTTATGCCACCTGCAGAAACCAGGAAAAAAATATTTTTGCATATATGTCTCATATACAAGTAGCTTCGTTCCCCCTCACCACACTCCACCCTTCCAGCTCCTGGGTGTGTTGCTTCCGTAGCAGACAGACAGCAGTCATGAGGTGTGCTAATGACTTCTCCAGGTCACACTTCCAAGAGTCCTTTTTAAGCATTGCCAAGAGAGGGTTTGACTAAGTGTAATTATATTTTTTTCCTGTGTGTTTATTCTTTATTTTTTTGCTATAGAAGTTGTCTCTTGGGTTTGTGCTTTGTTATGGTTTCCTAACGTTTTTCCAAAGTACAATATTTTTATTTTTAACAGATAGAGAATCTTGAGCCCTCAGAATGGATTTTTATTTTCTTTTGTTTCATTTTAGTTATTTAAGTGCAGGAAGAAATTTTTGCCTTGTCACTTGTGACTTTGTTCTTTGCTCTCTCTCCCCACAGCCCTGAGAGACTTGTCTCCTCAAATCCTCCCAACGGGCAGCTGCCAAAGTCCTTCCCATCTTGTCTCTTGCAGCATCTACAGGGTGGACGAGCTTTGTTTATAATCCCTCAGGATGACAGAGGCATAGGTCACATCTGGGGGTGTGCAGAGCACCGACTCCGAGACAGGAGAGCTGGGCACAGAGCTGCCCGAAACAACTGAATCCCGGAAAGGGGATGGGGGTGTCAGTGCCGGAGAGTCTTCCAGAGTCAGTTTGCTGGTCACCGGCTCCTCGTCCTCCTCCTCCTCTGTGTTTTTCTCATACACATATCCCTGAATGAGCTTTACCTTCTCACTCTCCACTTCATCAGCTGGGGGAGAGAGGGTCTCCTCGCTGAAGGCAGCCACCTGGAAAGGCTGCAGGGACGACTGCTGAGGTGGTGGAGGCTGGTACGGGGGCCGCACGCCGTTCCCTGAGCCGGGAGTGGAGATGGCAGCGTTGAACTCTGGGATGCCGGGGGCGAACTTGTTGACCACTCCTTGCAGCTGGTCCATGAGGGACTGTGGCTGCAGGGGCAGGGTCTTGGGGGACTGCTCAGGCAAGAAGAGCTGGGTCTCCTCCGCTGTGGCCTGCAGAGGTGGGGTGGTTGCCACTCGTCTGTGCACCACCATGGAGGGGCTGCTGGCCTGGTTGAGGCGAACAGGCTCTCTATCTTCTTCCTCCACCACATTGTACAGAGTCTTACTGCTGATGTCGGTAAAAGTCAGGCTTTGGCCGTGGTAGTCTTTAGTGAGGGGTTTGATCACTGCTGTCTGATTGCACCCTGTCTCCTGGTTCTTCACATGCACTGAGAGTCTGTGCCATGTATGTTCCCCTTTGGGATCTTGTCTTCCACCTGGTTCAGACCATGACACAGACTTTCCATTAGAACTATGAATAAAATAAAGATGGGTTTATTTGCATTTACATTACACAAACACAGGCAGTATAACACACAAGCCTACAGAAATACTGATTGCTTTTCCTCATTAGTAAGCCTCCCTCCTCCAGTTCTTTGTGTCCTCCCCAAAAAACTACATAAGGAAACAACAGTGTTTTTTAACAACAGCAATTACTTTGATTTTCATCCAGAAGTGATTACTTCCTGATGGTTATCCATCTTACAGCCAGCCTGGAAAGGCTAGCCTGTGGGAAGGGCTCCAGGAGGGCCAGCTGTGATTTGTAGACTCGAGCTATATAATTTTGTATCTAGGTTTGCTCATCCCACCTTGTAGGGAGGGAAGGAAAAAAATGGGAAAAAAGTCACAGGAAGAGCTTTAATTAAGCCTGATTTACAACTTAAAGGAAATATTTTCAAGCTGTTGGAAGAAAAACAACACACAGTTATAGCCTTTGGCACCCTGTGTAGAGAGGTCCTTTTTATTCCCTCTCCCCCTTTTGCACTCAGGAACAGTTTAGCTATCAAAGAAATGAAGGACTTCTGGGGACTCCATCAGGTAGAAGGCAAATGCACTTCTTCCCAGGTGACTATTATTTACAAATCAGGATAAAGTGCTGGGACTGAAAACGGTTGAGAACGCAGCTGCGATGGGCAGGGCACGTCTCAAGGATGAAGGACCACCGCCTCCCTAAGATCCTACTTTATGGTGAACTTGCCACTGGCTGCCGCATGAGAGGAGCCCCGAAGAAAAGATACAAGGACTCCCTGAAACAACATCTCAGCCTTGGCCATATTGATCAACACAGCTGGTCTACTCCGGCCTCAAATCGGGAGGCCTGGAGACACACCATCTATAACGCAGCTGTCTCCTTCGAGAACACACATAAGATCACTCTCGAGGAAAAAAGGCAGCGCAGAAAGAACCGTAAATTGCAGAATACACCTCCTAAGGAGTCTTTCTGCTGTGCCTTTTGCAATCGGATATGTCTGTCTCGTATTGGCCTCATAAGCCACCAGCATGCCTGTAGCAAATGTGGATAGAGCCTTCCCAAATCTTCGTTCGCGAAGCCTCGCCATGATGATGTGTGGGTGGAGGAACAAGCAGCGACAAGACCAGGGTAAGTCAAACCCTCCGACTCCTCATACAGGCTGGATCCCATCAAAGTGCTTAGCAGTTTAGCTGAGTGAGGATCTGAGGGTCATGTCTGCCCCTGAGGAACTGTAGGTTTTTTTGCATTTCCCTGTGCCATTGAAGGGAACAACACAAAAAGCAGAGTGGCAGCTTGTTAGCAGCTGGTGGGACAGGGAGCTGAGTGTTGCTTAAGAGGATCAAGCAACTGTTTCATTGTAGGTCAGGCAGTAGAGATCATTGACAAATTATAATATACATCACCTGTGTGAAAACCAGATACAGAAATTCTGAGATGATTTATTCAAAGCAGCCTTAACTCAGGGTTTCATTCCTCAGTGACCAGGAGCCCTGAGGATTAAATTTCAGACCCTGTGATTGCCCTGCAGGTGCATGGCAAACTAGGTGGGAGCAGCCTTGTCTCCTGCTACTGCACACATGAGGGGAGATCGCTTCCCTTACTGTATTGCAGTATCATTCAAAGTATTTTGCTTTTCCTTGCTCAGACTCTTGCAGTTCTCTTTTTTCAGGGAGTAAATAATTGCCAGTTGAATTTTATTTAAAAAAAATAGTGACTGACTTTGTCGCAGATAGTGTTGTAAATCTGTCAAAAAAAGAAAAGAAATGTACATGACAATGTGTCACTTTTCTGCTGAGCCATAAATATTCCTGGAGAAAAAAGAAAAAATCTTTTGAGATGGATCCAAGCTGGGAAGTTCATCTCCAGCTCCAGACTCTAAACACTGGACTCACCACCTCTGTGGGAACTGGAGCACGAGAAAGGGCCAGTATAAAAAATTTGTAACTCCCCAAAGCATGTAGTGGGTAGGATCTAGAGCTGTTTGGATTTAGAGCTTTAGCACAGAAAGTAAAAAAACAAGTTCCCAGCTGATCAATGAAAAGATAAGAATGAAGATTTAGAAGAGTTCCTGTTTTGATCAAAACTAGCTGTGGTATGACTTTTTTTTTTTAAGTGTTATACAGATAAGAAAATGAATGTAATTGTTGGGTGTGAAAGATTTTTAAAATAATATTTAACATGCCAAGATCTGCAAACTCCACGCAGAAACACATTTTGTCTGCTTTAACTTCAAAACAAGTCTTTTCTTGTAGGGAGGAAAAGAAGTCAAGTGCTCTCATGTTGTATTTTGCTGATGCTGTAGCTTACAAATACTGCAAAGGGCTTTTCTGAAAAAAATACAATGATTATCTGCCGCCTTTTATGCTAAGTCCACTTCTACATAATTTATTTCTTCATAGCTAGTTTTGGTGCATCATCTCACTTTTGAATCCCTCCTCACACCATCTGTTTAGTCTCTAACTCATTTTGTTCCCAAGATTTTGTATTTTACATCAAAGGCAAGCACTGCTATTTTAAGGAACTCACTACCTCTGTCTTCAGATCATGCTCCTATTTAGTTCATTTCCCTCTCCCTCACTCTCAAATTCTGCTCTTCTGACTTCTTTCTTCTGTAGCACTCTCCATAATGCACTTAATTGAGCTCAAATCAACAACCATGGTGCTGGGACTGCAATACCCAAACGTGAACAAACCATTTCATCAGCGTTTGTCTGTTACCAACTTGCTCTATGAGGAAAGCTGCTGCTGCTGATGCACCTTGTCTCCACTTGCCAGACCTTAAAGTTTGTGACTCGTGACAAAGAGCTTTAGAGCTGCAGTGGCTCTCTGTGGGATCCATTGGACAATATCCACTGGGAAATCTCTTTTCTGCTACTGTTCTCCTCAGACTCTTGTTCCAACTCTTTCCCTCAACTTGCTCTCCTTGCTATGTCTGTGCACCATTAGCCTGTTAATGAGTCATTTGAGGTGGAGTCACAAGACTGTCATAGAAATACCTGGGCTCTGTCTTGCTGGATGACTGGTAGGGAGTCACACCAAGATTAGCACATTCAGGCAAAATTCATAATTAACATGCAAGAAAAACACTTTTTATGCTGGAACAAAGACCAGCCATCTTGAATGGCATTAATTGACCTTTAGACATAAGCAAACATGGGTCTGCAAAAGCCCAGACCTGAACTGACTCTCAGCAAGACGAGGAATCGCCTCGCTTGGGATGATGAGAATCCTGACTGCATATGGGAGGCATGGTCACCAGTTATTGTCATATTCTCTTTTGAAGGAATTATCCATGGAAGGAGGTGAAGATCAAAATAATTTGCCTGGCATAATGGAAGAAGGGATGGTTTTCCACAAAAAGGCAAGAGAGGACACCAAGCTGAATTACAGTTGGGGTCTTGAAAACCTGATGTTCAATTGCACAGCGACAAGGTGGGATTAACTGGTGGAGGTGGGATTAACTGGTGGTTTCTTGCTTTTATCAATAGGATGGTTACCCATTTCATTTCTCTCATGTATTTATTTGTCTTTCCTAGCTTTCTCTGTACTGTATACAATTTCCCATAGGATTTAGACTTCCCACTTACTGCCTAGATGTGAACCCCCTGGAGTCTCAATGGATCTTTAGGTATGTACTTGCCTATACCCAGTGTAACACTCCAACTACTATTTCTTCAAATCCTCACATCTAACCTAAATGTTGAGACAGATTCATGGACATCCTATAAACACATAAGATGGGCTTGCTTTTGCTTTATAGGCAAGGACATACAGTCAGTTGCTTTTTCTCAATTTTTCACAGCTTTATTTGTGGGTTTTGGTTTTTGGAGGAAATAGAGGTAAGTATATTTCTTGTATGAATTTTTTTTAGTTCTGTGAGAAGATCTGTTGTTATTTTTGGTAATTCAAAGTGTTGTTTTTAATACATGCATTGATCTTTATAACATACTCTCTGCATGACTATGGGGCAGTCATTTTCTGATACTTTCAGACAATTATTAATTACTAAACAAGATGGAAAATAATTTCAGACCTTAATAGTTACTAGCTGAAGATTTTTAAAAGAGCTAGTGCATCCAAATCTGAGACTGTGGTTCAGAATAATCCTGCCCACCTGTAGGACATGCATACAGCTCATTAGACATCTCACTGTTCATTGTTAAGTATCTCCAGATGCTCGAGATCTGGCTCTTCCTTGTGACAAGGAGTTCCCCAGACCTAAGTCCATTTTCAGGCCAAGACCAGAATCCTGCTCCTGCCAGTGCCTGAAGGATCTGACCCTGTTGGCTTCCTTGGAGCAACATCAAGTCTGAGCACCCCAGAACAGGTGGTTTCTCTCCACATTGCAGGATCCTGTAGATGCCTTACTTTAGACTTTGAATAGCAAAGGTTTCTTTATATCTTAGAGGCTGAATGCTTCTGAGGTGAAAAATTATTGTCTCAGTGGTCTAAGGGAAGTTAGTTTGTGCAACTCTCTGATCCTTTCACCAGCAAAGTTACAGCCTGAGATCCAGAGCACAGAGAATGAAATCAATTTTGAGTTCTGTATGCCTGAAATGTTGTCTTTTTTTGTCTTGACCATTTTATGCATAACAATCCCTAACTGATACCACATGAAATGGTTTAACAGAGTGATATGTGCTATGATGAAGTTAGCTTCAGGAACCCACAAGCTGGGAAATGGCTTCGGATGCAGTTCGGTAAAGTGCTTGAGAAAGAGCCCTTCCAGTTAAAACAGCAAGGGACATTCCTTGATCTGTTAGAGTTCATCCCCTGTTTCATCCCTTTAGGATGCCAGAATGGTGGTCTGTTATCTTCTCCAAATGGTCATGAGCTGAGGGAGGATCTCAAGCTTGCTGAGATGAGGGATACAGTCATTTGGGCCAGGCCTGGTGGTGCTAGACAAGATTCAGAACACAGATTTATGATTTAAGGCTGTTTTTTAAAAAAGCAGCAATGGCAATTAACCAGAGGAAAAGGATATAGGAGAAATTATAAAT